CAGCGGCCATGGCTCACGGGCCCAGCCGCTCTGCAGCACGTGGGATCTTCCCGGACCGGGGCACGAACCCGCGTCCCCTGCATCGGCAGGCGGGCTCTCAACCACTGCGCCACCAGGGAAGCCCCCCACCCTTTTGTTTTTGACAACCTTTTGTTGCCCTGAAGTGAGGGGTCACATAGTATGAAGCAAAATGTTTATATTTTTCTCACTAGGACTCTTTAAAATGAAAAGCAAATTAATTTTCAAAAATTAAATGTATTGTTAATAGGTAATGCATTCAAATGATTCAAAATTCAAAACATACTAAAGGGTGTACAATAAAAAGTTTCCTTTTTACCCATGTCCTGCAGCTGTACAGTTCACCTCCTCCAAAGCAGCTAACATTATCAATTTTGGGGTCTCCTAGAGTTATTTCATGCATATGAAAGCAAATGTGAAGAAGCAAATATCTTTTCTGCTTTTTGAATACAAGCGGTAGCATACTAGATTCACTCTTCTGCACTTGCTTTTTTCATTTATAAAAATATAGAAACCACTTAATTAAAAAAAAAACCCTCCTTTAACAGAAACCGAGGAAACCCTGAAATTGAAACAGTAAAGAACTATAGTAACCAATATGAAAGTTACTGGAAAACAGTAAATAATAAAACAATAATTAGGGCAAATAATGCATTAATATGTTCTAATAAATTGGAAAATCAAAGTGAAATAAGTGACAAAAAAGCAAGAAATAGAAAATCTGAACAAACCAGTAGGTAAGGAAGAAACAAGAAAGTTGTCTGACAGCCAAGGGAAGAAAACAATTGAAGAAGGAGGGAATTAGCAGTTGACTTGAAGATCCTTTAGTTTTGCACCTTGGAAGCTAGTTATGACCTCAGGGGATTTTTCAGTGGAGCATTAAGAATGGACTCCCAGTTGTTGGGCAGCTGCAAAGAGAACTGGAGGTGAGGAAATGGAGACGGAATAGAGAAATGTTTTATTGTCCTTCAGCTGTAATTGGTACTTAGCATGATACCCAGCACAGAGTAATGAATTTTTCCTTTAAGGTTGCAGAGTCTTGAACATATGTAAGTGATGATCATTTGCGCCAATAGAGAAGGAAAAGGTGAAGATGCAGAAAATAGCTAACTATGAGAAAGGCAGGAGAAATTGAGATCTGGAAGACAGCTGGAAGGGGTTGGCCTTAGGGCGAGGGTTTCCTCTTCCATTCTGAGATGCAGAAGGGATTGGTGCTGGGAGGAATTCGGAGTTCTTGTTTGCTCGCTTCCCTTTTCTCTGTAGAGTGACTTAGTCATTTGCTGGAAATAAGGGGAGAAATAAAGGGCTTAGAGGTTTGAGAGAATGGAGAATGAATAATGATCAGTGTAGACAATAGGAGAGAAAGATGGGTAAATACATCAGGATCAGTGGGCAACATTGGGACGCAAGTGGTTTCCCAGCATTTAAGAGCTAGATGCAGGCGTGGAGAGTGCCAGCAAGTGGACTCTTGTAGGACAGAACACTCGTCGGTCTCAGGACCCCTTTACATTCTTAATTACTGATAGCTCCAGAGAGCTTTGTTTATGTAGAATGTATTTATTGATAATTACTCTATTAGAAATTAAAACTGGGATATTGAAAATGTATATTTATATTCTCTGTACAAGTACAATAAAAAAATCCATCATGTTAGCGTAAATAATACATTTTTACGAAAACGATGTTTTCCAAAACAAATGAAATTTAGTGAGAAGAATGGCATGTTTTACATTTTGCAAATCTCTTTAATCTCTGGTATATAAGAAGACAGTTGGATTCTCCTGTTTCTTTTTTCAACCTGTTGCAATATGTTGTTTTTGTTCAAGTATGTGAAGAAAATTCATCCTGAAACAGAGGTAGTTGGAAAAGGGAGTATTTTAATAGCCTTTTCAGTAATTGTGGACGTTTTTCTTTGATACTACACCAAAACTGGGTAAGTGGTAAGTTTCTTAAAGATTAGCTAAGAGCTTAGATTCTGACACATATCAATAGACTTTTCGTGTACTAAAATCCATTGACCTGTTCTGCTCTAGATCTATTCTGATTTATCCTGGTCATAGATCTTTTGCCTGTGCATGATTTTGTGAACTCTTGCCTTTGTTAACATCATAAGTTTTTTCAACTTTGCTGAGTTATGCAGATCTTCTAAATGTTGATGTGTTTCATTAGACAATATTTAAAAAATTACATTTGTTAATGTCACCACTGATTTCATCAGAAAAGCCTTTAAGTATTGGGAAGCCGTCAAGTTCACAGTGAGGGATACCACTTTTCTACCCTTCTGATTTTCGCTTGACAGGTGGAATTTTATCATAGGCAACAAATACTATCATTGTTTTCCTTTAGGCGACAGGTTTGCTTTGTTCAGTTTTGAGAAACTGTTTGCCAGATATGCAGGTCTGAATAATCAACCAGTTTGGTTTTGTTTGAGAGGACTGTCCTACGCCATTATATAGTGGAAGTGCTTCATATATTTCATCATACCAAATATTAAAAGGCCATGTGCTCCAGGGATGAGATTTAGTAAAATTGTACTTTATCAAGATATTCTTAAGAGAAACTGGCTTTTTTATTTTCCTGCAAGTGCATGGTGGTGAAGAATACAATGACCACTGGTACATAAACTTAGCCTTCATTTATGCTAAGGTTCCAGTAGTTTTCGTCACCATTGCTTTTGTACCATCAGTGCAGGTCTGAGCACAGTGAAAAAGGGGTGGGCACATATATCTTAGTATTATTATGAAAATAAATTTTACCTAGTGGAACCTCTGAAAAGGTCTTAGGGACCCCCCAGAAGTCCACATTTTGAGAATTGATGTTCAAGGCATAAGGTTTTGTTAGGTGTGTTCAATGGAATTGAGAGACGGTAGTAAAAGATACCATAGTTAAAGATTGGACCATGGTCTCTGGCCTGGAGAGTCCTTTTACTTTTTTCCTATGTATCAGCTCATTCTGAGAGGCCGCCAGTACGTTTGTCAACGCACTTATTTGAAATATGACCAGTACATGCTACATAGTCAAAAGGAACATTTTATGATGCTGAAATGAGTTTTGGGAGTGAAGAACTGTAACTTGAATACTAGATCAGCACAAAGGATTTAAGGACCAGCGTTCTTACTTCTGCTTCTGTTAACTCATGAGCCTCACTGAGTTCTGGGAAAGTCACCTGAACTTTCTAATTCTCAGGTTTCTCACCTCCACAGTGGGATTAGTATTATTTGCGCCCACATTTCTTAGAGTAGTTTTGATGTTCAGGTGATACCATCAGTTCCGTACGCCGGGTAACATCTTCATCTTCATACCTGTAAAGCTGTGCTTGGGGTACAGCACATAAGTCAGTAAATATTTATTGAGTTAATGAATGAACTTAAAAAAACTGTTATGAGCTGTTAGTTTTAAACATACACACCAATAGAGTTGTATAATGAATTCCTGTCTTTCCTCAACACATATAACTCTAGAAAATAAGACCATGTTTTTATAGAATTAAGATCACCACCAACAAAATTAAAATTGGGTCCTTAATACCATCAAATACTCCTCTCGCATTCGAATATCCCCAATTGAATTAAAATAAATACATATATATGTTTTTACAGTTGGTTTATTCACATCAAATCCACACAAGGTCCACTCATTACATTTGTTTATTATGACTCTTGGTTTCTTTTCATTGCAAACATTTCCCAGGTCCCCCACTTTTTTTTATGCATCAACTTGTTGGAGAAACTGGGGCTAGTTTTGTAAAATGTGCTCCTGTTTGATTGCTTCCCAGTGGTGTTTTGAGCTTCCTCCATTCCTTACATTTCTAGTAAGCTGGAAGTTAATTGTTTGATTAGATTCCAATTTAGATTTTTAGGGAGAACACTTCTGAGTGGTCTGCTGTGTACTTCCGATGTGTTTCACATAGGACGTACGTGGTATTGATGCCAAACTTGAGCAGTGGGTTCAAGTGCGGCAGCCTTATCTTTCCGTTGTTCACCATCACACTTTCTTGTCATGGTTTTAGCCTCCATTGATGATCACTGCCTGAGTGAGTGAGCTTTGGAACTGTGAGGTGCTAACCACATGTGTGGAGGTATTATTGAGGTACTGTTTCGGTTACTACTGGTAAAGTAGGGCAGTATCTTTATTTGAGCTAACTTATCAATGACATACTATCTAAGAAGCGGATAGTAACAAGCCTACAGATTAGGGACTGTATTTTTTACATTATAATTGATGTAAAATATTTCATTAGTTGAGGTGTTCAGCATAGTGATTTGATAGTTTTATACATTACAAAATGATCAGGGGACTGCATTTTTAACAGGATAATTTTATGCATAGCATGGAAAGAACTAACCGGTTTTTTTTCACCTGCCACACTAGATTTAGAGTTTGTATCTTAACAGCATGTCATATTAAAACAAATACCTTTGAACCATCTTCTTACTAAAGAGACTCTCCAAAACCATTCTGTCTCGATTATTATAAAAATTTGTTGAATACTAATACAGTTGATCATTACAATAAGATTCCAGATGACAAAAAGGAATTTGGACACACCCTTGGAGCTCTCTTTGTAATGAGATTTAACATGTCAGCTGAAGCTACCATAATTTTGGTTTGGTTGGTTCTGTTAGGAGAAAATAATTAAAGTATCTCATTTTACGTGGTTCATAATGAATCCATTTGTAGAAATTGAATTCAAACACTGGGAAACTAAATAAAAACAATGTGAACATTTGGAAAATGTGGGTGGTTTCTTCTTTGTGCTGTTGGATATGTCCGTCAAACTGATGCTGCAAGAGAAATACCTCATGTTTAGAACAGGGGCTGAGCACAGGTGGTGTGTTCAGGAAATCAGTATAATCTCCGTGAACGAAAAAACTTTACAATTCTTGAAAAACTTGCAAGGTTGTTGACCAAGGGACATGAAATTTTACCCAAAGACATTAACTTACTTCTTTCTTCAATAGGAAAATAAAAAATATTTCAAGCGTAGTGAACTTGCAAAAAAAGAAGAGGAAGCATATCTTGAAAGATGTGGCTACAAGGTATGAATGCCTGCTTTTATGTTAAATTGATGTTTCTGAGTTTAAATTTATACAGCTGTTGTTAAAGTGTCAAAACGATTGATCTCTGTTCAATTTATTAATGTTATACATTAGCCTATAAATGAGAAGCCATCTGGAGAGGTATGAGTTTTTGTTTTTCTTTCCTTTTTCTTTTTTTTTAATCTTGAATTCAGGAAAATACATGCATGACTTTTGGCTTGGAATGGTTTGGCTTTTTGTGGACAGCATGAAGTGGCTTGAGATCAAAGCTTGATTTTTTTTCTTTTTAATTAAGTCCTGGATCTGATACTGCCTCATTTTCATCACCATCACCACCACTCCTCTCCTCACCTCTCCCAATAAAAGTCCAGTTTTAAAGGATTCAAAAGATTTTATTCATTCAACAACAGTGGCATTAGCAGTGGTACTTGCCCTGCTTTCTCCTGAATATTTTAAGCCATTGTTTTTATGTTTGCAATGTTAGTAATCCCTTTTGGCCCTAAGTACCTCTGCCTGAGATACAGTGTCATTTTGTGTAATAAGGTATCACATTTCAAACACTGCTTAGTTTATTGGATAGAAAATGTGATCTTGAAATATTTGTTAGAAATAAATGAGTTATCTGGACGACTTTGTATACTTTAGAAGCATGACTAAAATTATCTTTGAGATTACCAGTTAATAATGTATTCGGGTTTTTATTGGGAGGGGTTAAAGGTAACGAGGTGAAGTTGTGTTTAAATTATTTTATAAGAAGGCTAAATCTAGTTGAATAATTTTTTAAACAAAGTTCAGAGGTTCTATTGAAATAATTTTGACAAATCATAAATTTGAAATCGACTTTTTGCTTGTGAAACATCAATATAAAATAATACTCTTGTGCACGTAATGGAGAAAGTTCTGGAAATTAATTTTATCTGGCATAGCATTTCTAGAAAGAAGCATGAGGAATGCAAATGGTATGTATATGCGTTTGCTTTCTTTTGGTACTTTTGGGAGAGGGCAAGTGTTGAAAATGTATTTCTGATAGGTTTCTAAAATATGAAAGTTTATATTTTGATATTTTCCATAGGTACATTGATTTCATTTGCTTCTAGTTTAGGAAATTAAGATACGTTTTATGTAAATAACCATCGAATAGATAGATATTCAGAAAGAAGAATTCTCATCTTTTGTTTGCCCAGCATTATCTAAACTCACACTTGAACTAGAATAAGAATCACTTAACCATGCGTTTTAGTCTGCTGACTTGTTGCTTTCCCAGATCCCTGAATTTGATTGTTTTCAACTTTTTGATAAGGTAGGAAAATAATTTAAACAGTGACGATTTTGCTTTGTTTAGATTGCTTCCGTGATAATGGCAGTACTTTCTTGCTTATATAGAGGAAAGCAGTGAAGCAGAATCATTACTGTAAAGGTGCTGCTTGTAACCTTGAGTCCAGCTGACAGAATGTCTTAGATCTTTTCCTTAAAGTTATTCACTGCCATTCTATAATTGAAAATGCTTTTTATCCTGAGATTTTGGGAGCAATATCTGTTTTTATGCTTAAAAAGAAAGCACAGCGTTTTTGATATAAAGCCTTTTAATATTTCCTTCTTGGTAGTAATGAAAATACAGCATGTGTTGCTTTTATTCTTTTATAAAAACCAGTTACCGTTTTTTTTAAAGGCTTGATGCTGATTTGGTCTGTGAAAATATGAAAGTTTAGTTTTTTTACCTAAATTTTCTGTTACCACTGTTAACACTGATTAACATAATCTTTAATCTATAGAATCATAAATTATATCATTTTAACCATATAGCCTTTCTTAACTGAATGTGAGTTTTTCCTTAATGTTGATCTTTTTTGTTTTTTGATCTTCTTTTGGCATCTTAGATTTGTCTTATGGTTCAGATGGAAAACCATGTTTCAGTATCTTTTTTACAGACCACACAGTGGGGCTTATAAATTGCTGAACTCAATTTTCGTAAACTGTGACTTGGGCAGCAGACTCAAGAAAATATATAAAGAAATTTTTTTCTCTGCAGGTTCATATGAGCAAGAATGTCCACTCTGTTCTTTCTGTACTATGAGTAGAGAGGTGCTGGTTTTCGTTATTTTCCCACAAGGTTCACAGCTCAGTTTGTGGGCAAGTTCTGTGTAGCATCGGAAAGTTTTCTGCATGTCCAGCAGTGATTCCTGTGCACTTGGAAAAACACCTTTCAAAAATCAGGAGAGGAAAGAGCTGGAGCTTGAGGCTTCACAGGTTTTTGTTAGAGAGCAGTTCCTTTCTTTGGTCTTCATTTTAAACCCAGAGCAAGGATCAAATAACCCTGTAAGATGATTTTCTCAAAGAGGAGAAGCAAGCTGGTTGTTTCTAAGAAGAAAGTAAAAATCTTGGAGTACAGGGAGAAAATGAGTCTAAATTTCAGCCTTTTAAAGTTTTTGATTGTGGAAACCATTATACTCCTGTAGCAAGAATGCTGTCTCCTGGGTGCATGGTCTCTGCTTGGGTGTCCCTGAGCTCTCACAAGCATGTACATTGATTATGAGCTCTTTGCTCGGAGGAACATTTAGAAAACCTTCAATATTTAAAACATGTTTAATTTCGGTGAATACCTAATGTATAGAATGATAAATGTTAAACCATATTATATTTTAAAAGGAGAATTTCGTTTCTTTTGGCTATTAATGTAGATACAGCCAAAAGAGGAGGACGAGAAACCATTAACTTCATCGAATCCAGTATTAGAACTTGAACTGGCAGAAGAAAAATTACCCATGACTCTTTCTAGGCAAGAGGTAAGTTTTTATATGAATGTTTTGTGGGAAAAAAACTCCACAGCATTTGCATTTAGTTCTTTCCAATAACTTTCGTCATTATCTCCCGTATAAAATGACGTAACTGGCCAGCTGCACAGTATTCCAGTTCAATTTTCTTTATGAGGTTCTAAATTAATCTCTGCTTTTATAGGTACTGTCATCTAATATCTTATGTCTTAAGTTGTTTTTAAAGAATGTATCATTCTGAACTTTAAAAACTAAACACATTCTAAGTATAATTAAATGCATATATTCTAATTAATTATACTTGATAAGTTGTCTAAATTATTTAAAATAATATAAATTATGTATTAAAAGAAAGTTAGTGTTTTGTAACTTACTTCCTCTTAATGCATCTTTCTAAGTCAAAATACAGAGATCTGTATGATCCTTTATGACTGCATAATTTCCCATAATATTTTAAAAACTACTTTATTATTTTTAAAATCAATTCTGTGCTAATGGTCATTTAGGTTGCCTCAGCATTTCCCTATTTTAGATCATACTAAGATGAACACCCTCATACAGATGTCATTGCATGTGTAATAATATATGATTGCTTTGGAAAATTTTCTAGAAACATGATTTCTGAAGTCTGTTCTAATGACTAAAGACTATATACATGCCTAAGGCTTTGGATACATACTACCAGAGAGCCCTGCAGACTTGTTATAGCAGTTCATACTCTCAGCTATAGTATTTGCCCATACCCTCGTCAATATCAACTATTATTTTCCTTCAGCAATAACACCAACAACAAGATTTTAAAGATATTCCTGTGAAAAAAGAATTCAGACTGTACACAAGGTACACAACGAAATTAACTTTGAGCTAAAGGAAACTCTCAGAGGAAAGGAGGGCTGACTCCAGAAGCTGTGTGTGAAAAAATTAGATGAAGGACTTTTGAATACTTGGCCTGAAACGAAGAATATTTGAGATTTTTAAAAAGATCCATTGACCACAGTTCTAATTTTGAAAAAGCATTGAATATTCTCTGTCGTTTCATAAAGAAGAACTGAGATAATTGAGAGAGGTAGCTTTTCATTTATTTTGAGAAACATAACATATCTGTCCAAAAATGGGATGGGCTGTTTCATGAAGAGGTGTGATTTTTGTCATTTGTCAGACAGGGACCGGATGAAGGTGTTTTTGAGGTCATTTCTGCATGGATTGGAGATAGCACTAGACGACCTCTTAAGTTTTTTTTAATACCGAGTTTCATTTAATCCAGTGGGAGCCCTGCCAGTGGTTTCTAAGTGTGATACTATTTATGTTCCCAGATAAAGTTCTTGGTATTTTTAAAATTATAACTTATTTTCTTAATTATAATTCTTGTTTGTCCTTTTTATGAAATACCACATGTATACAAAGAGTGTGTAAAACATGTGCGATATAGTGGATAATTACAAAACAAACGCTCGTATAACGATGGCCGAAGTCAAGGAGGAGTATTATCAGGCCCTCAAAAGCCCTGCACGTCCCCCTCCCTCCATTTGTAACTCACTTTTTCTTCTGAGGGACTAGTTTTTGGTTTTAATGTAGTACTGCAGTGCCGACTCATGGCTATCTGTGGTCATTGACTTATCGCTGACTCCAGGCTTGGTTTTATTTTATTTTTTTCTCTTTATAAACGTTATCACTCCCTCCCATCGTAATGTTTTTCTTATGTATTCTACTACACAGATTGGTCCTTTCTGAAACACTCGCCAAATGACCTAAACCATTAGGGTTATTTAAGGTGTGACAATAATTCAGTATATCCGTTAGTGGAAACTAAAGAAAAAGAAATATAACTTACTTTCTGCATCTACTTTTCACTTACCAAAATAAGTGTTTGGTCTCCTAAAATAGGAATTATTATTACTAATGACATAGGGAATTACTATTGTTGTTTGATATATTTTTAAAATAGGTTATCAGGAGATTAAGAGAAAGAGGAGAACCAATCAGACTCTTTGGAGAAACTGATTATGATGCTTTTCAACGTTTAAGAAAAATAGAGATCCTCACACCAGAAGTTAACAAGGTAAGAAGTCAGAACAAAGGTAGAAGAATGTCATTGTACCATATAAATGAGAATAGTATGGACTTCGACAGAGTTCAACTAATTGCATTACTATAGAGAAAAAAGGAAAAATAAAGTTGCCAGATTACTGCTGCTGAATGTAAGTTTTCTTTTTTTTTAAAATTTTGTGTGTGCGTGAGTTTATTTTTTTTACTTATTATTTTTCAGTATTTATTTGTTTGTTTTTGGCCTCATCAGGTCTTACTTGTGGCACTCGAGATCTAGTTGTGGTGCGCGGGCTCAGTAGTTGCAGCGTGCGGGCTTAGTCGCCCCACGGCATGTGGGAATCTTAGTTCCCCTGCCAGGGATCAAACCTGTGTCCCCTGCATTGGAAGGCAGATTCTTAACCCCTGGACCACCAGGGAAGTCTCAGGTTTTCTTTAATTTTCTTTTAAAAAGCACACATCTTGGGCATGCAGTTTAGCGCATTTTGACAAATACATGCAAGTGTGTGGCCACTACCCTTATGAAGATGTAGAGTATTTTCATCACACACACATGAAAGTTCCCCAGCACTCCTCCTTGGCCAGTCCCCGGGTTCTTCTTCCTCCACTCCTGGGCAACCACCTTGTTAAATTCGATCCCCACCAGTGAATTTAGAGGATGTGTGTCTGGCTTCTTTTGCTCAGTGTGATATTTTGTAGATTCGTCCATGTTATTGTGGATGTTGGTAGTTTGTTCCTTTACATTGCTGAGGATAGTCAGCTGTATGAATATATCAAAATATGTTTCTAGCTTTGGGCTGTTACGAATAAAACTGCTGTGAACATTCTTACACAGATCTTTTTTGGATCTGTGTTATTCCTCTTGGGTAAATATGTTTTTATCTCTCTGGTAAATACTTAGAAGTGGAATTGCTGTATAGTAAGAGTAAATGTATGTTCAACTTTTTAGGAAATGCCAAATATTTCCAGTGTCTCATCAATGTTTGGTATTGTTAGTCTTTTAAATTTTAACCATTCTCTTGTATTGTGGTAGTATCCCATTGTGGTTCTACTCACAGTTCCCTGATAACTAAAGATTATGAGCATCTTTTCATAGACTCATTGGCCATATCTTTCTCTATGCAATGTGTCTTTTGTTCATGTTTCAGTTGGGTTGTTTGTCTTTTTGAGTTATAGGCGTTCTTTATGTGTATTCTGGATTCTTTGTCAGATATACAGATTCATGTTTTGTGTCTATTTTTTCCTAGTCTAGGCCTTACCTGTTCTCTTAATGGTGCCTTTTCATGGGCAGGACTTCCAAATTTTGATGAAGTTCACTTTATGGTTATTGCTTTTGGTGTTTTGCTTAAGAAATCTTTGCTTACCCTAAGGTCTTAAAGAGATGGTATGTTCTTCTAAAACTTTAATAGTTTTAGCTTTACTTTTAGGACTCTAATCTTGTTTTATGGCTCAGCTTATGGTCTGTCTTGGCGAATATTCCATGGACTCTTGAAAAGAGTATGTTTTATGCTTTGGATAAATGTCAGTTACAGTGGTGGTGTTCAGATCTTCTGTGGCCTTATTAACTTGCTCTTTCAGTGAGAGACAGGTGTGGTTATCTGTGGCTGTGTAACAATCCACCCCAAAACTTACAGCTTAAAACAATTCATTATTATAAAATCTTTCTCAGTCATCTATGATGGTAACAAACCACCCTGAAACCTAGTAACCTAAGGTAATTTATCATTCTCCCTCACAGTTCTGTGGTTCGATTGGGCTAAGTAAGTTGGGCAGTTTTTTGCTTGGGGTCTTGCATGTGATACAGTCAGGTGAGGGCTGTGGCTGAGGTCATCTGAAGGCTCCTCGGACTGGCCTTGTAACTTAGAATGCTGCCTTAAAGGTGCAGCTGCTTTGTAGCAGGTGTCAGCATTTCCTGCCTTTTTAAGGCTGAGTAATACTCCATCGTATATATGGACCCCATTTTGTTTATCCATTCACCCTCGATGGACATGTAGGTTGCTTCTACCTTTTGGCTATTGTGAATAATCCTGCTATGGACACAAGTGTATAAATATCTGTTTGAGTCCCTGCCTTCACTTCTTTTGCATATATTCCCAGAAGTGGAATTGCTAGATCATACGGTGATTCTGTGTCTAACTTCTTTTTTTTTGCGGTACGCGGGCCTCCCACCTCTGTGGCCTCTCCTGCTGCGGAGCACAGGCTCCAGACATGCAGGCCCAGTGGCCGTGGCTTACGGGCCCAGCTGCTCCGCCGCATGTGGGATCCTCCCGGACCGGGGCACAAACCCGTGTCCCCTACATCGGCAGGCGGACTCTCAACCACTGCGCCACCAGGGAAAACCTAACTTTTTTTTAAAGCATAATGAATTTAAAAATTTTTCTTCATTTATATTATTAATGTGTACAGCAATTTGTTTTTCTTTATTTTCAGTCCTATCTGAACTTTCCTAACTTAAATTCTTGGAAAGAGTAAGTGGTTTTGTAATGCTTCATTTCACCGATATTTGTTTCTCTTCTATCTCTTGAGTCATTTTCCTTATCAAAAGATAGTTTAAAATGCTAATGTGAACTATTCAGTTTTTGTTACCTGATTTAATTTTTCTACTGCTCATTTCATTACTTGAAAAATCTCCTAGCTTTTAATATTAATTTATTACAATCTGCTGTATTCTAATCTTATTCAAGCCTGTCCCAAATACTAGAGTTTCTTATGTACTTTTTAAAAACTGGGGTATAATTGACATATAACATTAATTTCAGGTGTACAGCATAATGATTTTATATGATCACCACTATAATCTAGTTAATATTCATCACCATACAGAGTTACAACAAAATTTTTTTTTCTTGTGATGAGGACTTTTTTTTAGAGATCTACTCTCTAAGTAACTTTGAAAGATGCAATACAGTGTTATTACCTTTAGTCACTATGCTGTACATTATATCCCTGTGATTTATTTATTTTAGAAATAACTGGAGCAGTCTAAAAGTTCATAAATTTGAACACATTCTGAAGCTCTACAATTTTTACTCCCCTCCCTCCACGTTTTATTTTTCTGATACCACATTTTACATCTTTTTGTCTTGTGTAGCCCTTAACTAATTGTTGTAGTTAGAGTTGTTTTTACTACTTTTGTCTTTTAATCTTCATACTAGCTTTATGAGTGATTAATTCACTACTTTTACTATATATTTACCTTTACCAGTGAGATACATACTTTCATATGTTTTCTTGTTATTAATTCGTGCCGTTTCTTGCCAGCTTAAAGAAGTCCCTTTAACATTTCTTATAAGGCTGGTTTAGTGATGATGAACTCCTTTAGCTTTTGCTTCTCTGGAAACTGTTGCTCCTTCAATTCTGAATGATAACTTTGCTGGGTAGAGTGTTCTTGGAAGTTTATTCTTTTAGCACTTTGAATATATTGTGCCACTCCCTCCTGGTCTGCAAAGTTTCTGCTGAAAAAAATCTCCTGATAGTCTTATGGGGGAGCGGGGTTCCCTTGTACAAAACAAGCTGTTTTTCTCTTGCTGCTTTTAAGATGCTCTCCTTCTTTAACTTTTTTTTTTTAATTGAAGTATAGTTGTTTTACAGTATTGTGTTAATTTCGGGTATAGAGCATAGTGATTCAGGTTTTTGCAGATTATATTCCATTATAGGTTATTACAAGATATTGGGTATAATTCCCTGTGCTATACAGTATATCCTTGTGGCTTATCTATTTTAAATATAATAGCTTGTATCTGTTACTCCGATACCCCTAATTTGTCCCTCTCTCCTTTCCTTCCCCCCTTGGTAACCACAAGTTTGTTTTTGATATCTGTCTGTTTCTGTTTTGCATATACTTTCATTTGTATTATTTTTTAGTTTCCACATATGGGTGATATCATACAGTATTTGTCTTTCTCTGTCTGACTTATTTCACTAAGCATAATACTCTCCAGGTCCATCCATGTTGTTGCAAATGGCAGAATTTCATTCTTTTTTTATGGCTGAGTAATATTCCTGTGTGTGTGTGTGTGTGTGTGTGTGTGTGTGTGTGTATGTATGTGTGTGTGTCACATCTTCTTAATACAGTCACCTGTTGGGCACTTGGGTTGCTTCCATGTCTTGGCTATCATAAATAGTGCTGCTGTGACCATTGGGGTGCATGTATCTTTTCGAATTTAGTATTTTCACTTTTTCTGGGTATATACCCAGGAGTGGGATTGCTGGATCATATGGTAGTTCTATTTTTAGTTTAAGGAATCTGAATACTGTTTTCCATAGTGGCCCTCTCAATTTTCATTCCTACCAACAGTGTATGAGGGTTCCCTTTTCTCCACATCCTCTGCAACTTTTGTTTTGTAGACTTTTCGATGATGGCCATTCTGACAGGTGTGAGGTGATACCTCATTGTAGTTTTGATTTGCATTTCTCTAATAATTAGTGATGTGGAGCATCTTTTCATGTGCCTGTTAGCCATCTGCATGTCTTCTTTGGAGAAATGTCTGTTCAGGTCTTCTGACCATGTTTGGATTGGGTTGTTTTTTGATATTGAGTTGTACGAGCTGTTTGTATATTTTGGATATTAACCCCTTGTGGGTCACATCATTTATAAATATTTTCTCCCATTCAGTAGGTTGTCTTTTTGTGTTGATGGTTTCCTTGCTGTGCAAAAGCTTTCAAGTGTAATCACGTCCCATTTGTTTGGTTTTGCTTTTATTTCTTTTGCCTTAAAGACTGATTAAAGAGAGTATTGCTAAGATTTATGTCAAAGACTGCTCCGCCTATGTTGTATTGTAGGAGTTGTCTTTAACTTTGGACATTATAATGTATCTTGGTGTGGGTATGTTTAACATTTTCAGATATTGCCGTACCATTTTCCACAGCAGCTGTACCATTTCACATTTCCAGCAGTGCACTAGGGTCTGTTTCTCCATATCCTAGCCAAGTTGTTAGTTTCTGTTTTCTGTTGATAATATTCATCCTAATGGCTGTGAAGTGCCATCTCTTTGTGGTTTGATTTGCATTTCCTTAATGACTAGTGATGTTGAGCATCTTTTCATTTACGTACTGGCCGTTCGTATGTCATCTGTTAAAGTCCTTTGTCCATTTAAAATCAGGTTGTTTTCTGTTTTGTTAGTTAACTCTAAGAGTTTTATAGTTTTAGCTCTTACATTTGGGTCTTTGATCCATTTTGAGTTAATTTTTGAATGTGGTATATGCCAAGGGTCTAGCTTTAAGGCTTCCAGTTTTACCAAGTGGTCACAAACTGGAAGTGAATACAATGTGGAATTTGCTGGTTTGTTAGAAACATAGTGAAATCCTAGGATATGGTTGAGACCCTGGTTTTATACTGTTGACATTTCCAAATGTTTTGGGAGTTCAAAGTATCAATGGTTGCAGTTGTTAGACATTTTCAGTGAACCAGGAGAATGGGTTGGGGACCAGTGGAGACCTGGTCACTTTCACTAGGGCCTCATTAGAAAATTACAGTATTAACGCTTATTCTTATTTGGATTTGTCACTCGTATGTTTTATTTTTCTGACCATCAGATTACCTGTTGTGTGTACATTCTTTTAAATTTAAATATGTTCATAAGAATTGACTTTGCATGGACAGTGGTGATAGCTGTATAATAAATTGAAATATTATTTGAGTTTCTTTGTGGAGAAAAAAGTGGATTATACTCATTACTAGAGAAAAAATCAGAAGTGAAAGAAACATCAGTGAAATTTCATACCAGATGTAACTTTTTACCTTTCCTCAGGGATTGAGGAATGATCTGAAAGCAGCTTTGGATAAGATTGATCAGCAGTACCTGAATGAAATTGTGGGTGGCCAAGAACCTGGAGAGGAAGACACCCAGAATGATTTGAAAGTTCATGAAGAAAACACCACAATTGAAGAGTTAGAGGTGATCCCTCCACCACCTTCCCTGATTCCCCGTCACGCCTTTCATTCCCTGCGGCAGATGGTTGAGCTCCTCAGACTCTTCAGTGTACAGCGTGCTGGCGTCTTTGTTCACTACAAAGGCCCTTCTTCTGTTTCGTGCCTTGTGTTTATTCACTCGCTTTTTTCTCATTTTCTATACACATTCGCCTACTTCCTGCCTTCAAAAGTATTCACTCTGATATGTTTGATATGTATCCTTTGATCTGTTGATGGTCTTGTAGAACCAGTAGTGTTTTGTCTGCATGTGTTTTGGTATACACATAAATGATATTTTACTGTGAAATTCTTCATTCTGTTCACTTTTTTCCCACTTAGAACTGTGTTAAGTTCCATCCTTGATACCTTAGGTACATCTAAACCTTTGATTTTAACTGTTAACATAGCATTTCATACACTGTGGCATTCACTGCCTTTTACTTTTTGTTCGCCATAATGACAGACAGTGAGATTGCTCCCAGCTCCCTGTTACCACAGACAGCTTTGTGACAAACAGTCTTGCACATGACCCCTCTGGAGCAGAAGCAGGATTGCTTCTGATATATGTTTAACTTGTCTGAGTACTGCCAAATTGCTCTCTGTAATGGGTTTGCCAGTCTCCACCCTCCACCAGCAGTGTGTGAGTGTCTTGTATCCCTGCATCCCTGCCAACACCTGGCAGTATCTTGCTTTCTTATTTTTGCCAGTGTGTTGAATGTGGAGTGATATATGTAATCTTATTTAAAAGTTGTATTATCTAAATGTCTAGCATGAGCAGAAATAATGACTTAGTTTAAAGTTCTTAATGGTTAATAAAGCATAGTTATTTTTTCCGTCACCTTTCGTTCCTGGCTCTTAACCCACATTGCATGCTGTGAGTGAGACTGTACTTAAGGAAGATGTCCTTTTAATTATACCTCGACCCCCTAAATTTTACTGCAATAATTGGTGTGAGCAACCAGTTCTGGACATTTTTTTCTTTTTTCCTTCGTTTCAAACAGCTTTGGAGATAGTCACATACTATACGATTTATCCATTTAATGTGTACAATTCAGTGGTTTTTAGTATATTCACAGGTTGCTACAACCATCATCACAATCTAAGTTTAGAGCATTTTGTTCCCCTAAAAATAAATCTTGTTCATGTTCATTAGCAGTCATTCCCTTTACTCCCTCTTTGAGTCATAAAAGATAACATGCTCTCTAAATATAAAATGGCCAATTGTCTTTTTTTTAAATCTATCTAGAAATTCCATCAGGGTTTTAAATCGGACCATACGTATATGTAATAAAGAGCCATGTTTAGTCTGGTGTTGATAATGTATGTATTCCGCTGTTGCTCGTGACTAATGAACAGAAGCATTCTTTTTCTTCAGGCACTGGGAGAGTCTTTAGGAAAAGGTGATGATCATAAAGACATGGACATCATTACCAAATTCCTGAAGGTATGTACTTTTTGGTTAGGAAAGGAGGACACGTTTTCTTTAGTTAAGAACTGGTCGTACTTTCTGTTTTTTGGGGTTTTTTTGGGTTTTCAGTTTTGAATTGTTTAAGAGTTACAGACTGCAAAGGGAAATCCTCACTAAACATTTCTGCACGTACGGTGTTTATGATATTGCTATGTGCTTGGATATAGAGGTTAAACAAGGAAAATGTATATTTACTTTCTTCATAGCACTTGTAAAGCTTACTTATTAATGTAAATAGAAAAGAATCATAGCAGTGGAATGAACAAGAAATTCTAAGGATTAAAAATTTGTTTTTGAGCACTCTGGGAAGGAGTGCAATAAGGAGAAGCTTTTCTGAGAGATGATGACACTAAGGAAGGGAAGGAGGTGGGAAGACGTTGACAGGGAAAAAAGCAAACACTCGAGCAGCCTTTCAGAGACTTGGGATTTAGCTCATTCATCCTTCCCGGAATTCCTCTTTCAGTGGTTTAGGTAGCGTATGTGCAAATCCCAGATTCCTTTTAACATTTATTCACACATTATTTGTGTTCAGAACAAGAGATATAAATGCAAGAAATGCTTTTACTTGTGTTTACAGTTTAAATACAACATAATTAGTCATCAAGATTCTCAGTCTGTTGAGGATTTGGCGTGGAATTAGCTAGGGCGTGGTGGGATCTAGCATGAACTAGAATTTCCTCTTTGGGTGACAGCCTCTTCCTATGTAGGACATGCATAGGTAACACCGCTAGGGGAGTATGGCTTCCTCAGCCCTCAGTGTTTACCTGCCTCTGGGAAGGATGCTCTTTGTGCAGTTTAACTCAGGGGGCACCTGGGTAGTTTTCTGGGGCAGGGTGGGGGCTGGTCATAGTTTCTTTTATTTTCGTTCGTTTTTTTCCTTCCTTCTCCTTTGGTCAGGCACTTTAGAGGGAATTTTTAATTGAATTGTGGTCTCTACTGCAAAAGTAGAAAGTCCAAATACTACAGCGTCACCCCCGGAAGATTGATTAAATATCACAGCGCATGTGGCATTATGGCTGATGAGTCTAGGTGGGTTGGATTTTATGTAATAGAAATACAAGTAAAGGTTTATTTCTGTCAAGCGGTTGCCGGTGAAATTCGATAGCTCTTTCAGGGGAAATGGATCGCATCTGAGCTGGGAGAGGTGTAGAATAGGGAAGTCTGTGACTTGCCAAAGGTGCTACATTAAAACACACGTGATGCAGTAAGCAGAGATAGTTCATTAGTTACACATGGGTTGATGTTTTAATCAGTCAGGACATCTACTCTAAGGGCCAGTGTATACCACTTTGTGCATCAGAGAACTTTTAAGCTTACAGAACCACTGGGTGGCGTTGTAGTCTAAATTTACCCTTTTTTCCCACAGTTTCTTCTTGGTGTTTGGGCTAAGGAGCTGAATGCCAGAGAGGATTATGTGAAGCGCAGCGTACAGGGTAAACTCAACAGTGCTACTCAGAAACAGACCGAGTCCTATCTCAGACCCCTTTTCAGAAAGCTACGGAAAAGGGTGAGGTTTCACGAAAAATGCTTTTGTTAACTGATTTTTAAAAAATAGAATATATGAAGTTAGAATAAATGCAGTCTGTAACTACACACTGTAGCTTCCAAACTTTAGTTATGCTCTTTTTTCTTTTCCAGAATCTTCCTGCTGATATTAAAGAATCCATAACAGATATCATTAAATTCATGTTGCAGAGGGAATATGTGAAGGTACATGACCATGCTGTGCATCAGATCTATGTTTATGAGCATACGTAGGTTGTGTACATAATATGTTCATCTCGTGTGGGAGTATTTTAATAGAAGATTTAAGAATAAATGTGAAATGAATTAGTAGTAAAAAAAACCTTTCATTTTCTAATATATTAGCTTTATTGTTAGGCATGAATAATAAAGTTTAAGACAGCACTGTATTTTTTAGTCATTTTTAAGGAAGGTGGTGTAAAGATTCTTCACAAACTGGATATAGGCAGCCATTCATTTCATGAATGGGATTGAATTTCAAAGTTTTTAGATTGTTGATTATGGCTTGGAACAAATTTTCCCGTAGAAGCAATGTTACGTAGATTAGTTTCCCAGGCCAGCTATAAAAACCTACTTAATCCGTAATATAGCTGAACCATTGTACTAATGATACAGTGGAATTTAACTGCCCTTTATGCTGTTTTCTCTGAGAAAATGTTCTAAGTGAGGCTGCCAGAATTTCTGTCTCCCATTTCAGTACTGCAACAATAGCAAAGCCCAGGAGGGGAGACTTCCCCTGCTGCAGTGTCTTTATTCCTGAGTGGACTCTGGGACCAGGTGGCAGAGGAGAGAGCTCTGGGGTCCATGTGCTTCCTGGGTAGAGTTTAGAAAGGAGGTGGAAGGCCATCAGTCCGTGTGGCGAACAAGAAGAGAAGGGCCTCTTGCACCACTAATGGGATTGGAAGTGCACCCCTGCTCGTGGGCCATCAGCCGAGTTTGAGGAGGGAGGCTTCCAGCGGCTGTGCCTCCCAAGAGAGGAGTGGAGGGTTCCGTGCAGCATCTCCAGTGACAGTTCCAGAGCCTCGATGGGGCTCTGCCAGAAAAGTGGGGATGCGTTGCTTACTCCTGTGCTCTGAGTGTCTGTCCTCAGAAGGGACTGTGGGTGATCCTGGGTGACTGGAGATCTCCTTGATGAGAGCCTCATGCTAATGGGCTAAAGTAGTGTTTTTAGTCCCTCTAGATGAGAGCCTGTTGGTTAGTCAAAGAAAGTGTTTCTGCTTTATAGCTATGAGTTTTATTTTTGGATAGTTTCTGTGAGTTGCCTGGAGCTTACCAGGGATGATTGCATTGGGATGGATCGATAAGGTCACCATCAGAGCAGAAGGAATTCACGGCACTTGCCTACTAGAGGCGATGCCTTCCCTCTTGATACTTTTCTCATTCTCGTATATGAGAAGCTGGTGAAAGTTTATTTTATATAAAGTACAGAAAGAACTAAAACTTAATATTAGGACACTCTTCTTTGGAAATTTGGGGAAACTGAATATTGGAAATTTTATCAGTTAATATCCAGTATTAAACTTTACACACACGAGTATCAGGGATTTTAAAAAATGTGTATATGCCGTTTTAAAATTCATTATATCAGTCTCATAGCTGTTTGATTTTTAAATGAAGATCTCTTTGAGGCCTGGCTGTGTAAGCCTCTCTGAAACCATTGGGGTCTTTTAGAGTTTACTTGCTTTCTGTTTTGTCCCCCACCCCAGCCCAGGTAGCCAGGCTTGGTTTAGAAAAAGAGCCATTTTTCTTCATTGCTTTCTCTCCTCATTTTGTTGCTTTTAAGGTTCTTGGCAGATGGGAGGTTTGGGGGGCCAAAGTGAAGTGATCTCATCCTTTAGCTATTTGGCTCGAGGGCCAGTATTTAACCTCTGCTTACACATCTGCTATGGACCCGATGTGATGGTCCCAGCACACAGAGCCCACACTGCTTTCAGAGGTCTGCACTGCTGTGCAGGCAGTAGTTGTAGTTTCAGGTTGGATTATGAAAAACTAGTTAGCCTCTGTCTTCTCTGTGACCACCTAGGGAGAAGACGAGGTATAACGGAAACTCAGACTAGAGTTTTTGTCAGTGCATCAAATTACCTGCCTGGTAATTCCAGATCTGAAATGTATTAACTTCCAGTGCACCAAGGCTGCAAAGGAATGTTTTGTCTTTTTACTCCCTGGGTTAGCGTTGGTTTCTGTTTTTCCACAGACATTTGTGGTCCTGGGTAAGCAGTCAGTCACCCCATATTTTAATTTCTTTTGTTTGAATAATGGGAATGATAGTATTTTCAACACGCCCAAGAGATGGATGAAAATTTCATCATGAAGGGCTGTGAAATACTAAATGAAAATTTGGACCAGCAGAATATTTCTGCTCTCCTGACCTCTTCTCCAACTCTCTTTTTAGGCTAATGATGCTTATCTTCAGATGGCCATTGGAAATGCCCCTTGGCCCATTGGTGTCACTATGGTTGGCATCCATGCCAGAACCGGTAGGGAAAAGATTTTTTCCAAGCACGTTGCACATGTTTTAAATGATGAGACACAGCGGAAGTATATTCAGGTAAGCAGTTTGGAGGGAAAAGTGCTCTGGAGGTTAACATTCCCCGGTTCTCAAACTAAGTTTTGAGAGGAGGAGAATTATAGTGATCGGGTATAGCATGATAGGATGCAAGTCCACTCCTTATGTAAATAGTACTTGTATTTAAGACACCTTCCACTGTACTATAAAATAGAAACCTTTTAGGTTTCATATATGATGTAAGACAGGGTGAAATGTTGTGCTTTAATTACCTGAGTAGTGAAATAAAACTATTGCTGTTCGCTTTGGGGGTTTACTAAAGAATGATGAATTTAGAGTATTTTGCAATAATTCACATTTTGTTACTTTCAAGGTAGATTAACATCTAGGCTAAAAAGGTATAAACGGTAAAAATTTAGCTAGTAAATATTTTTAAATAATTTGTAACAACACTTCGGTACACAGTTTTAAAATATTTATAGTTTATTTTCTTAAAGTTATACATGCCTCACATAAACCTGGTTACACTGCTGTTGGGTTAAACTTTTCTTTTTAGTGGGAAAAAACCCTCAGCTGTAATCTAGCTTTTGCCAAGGTGTCAAAAACCCCAGGTTGTGTCTGTATAATGACTTTTGCTGGATGTTAACTCTAAAGCTTGAAGATGAAACTCTGAAAGTTTACTTAAAGTGTAAGGTTCACTTAAAATGCCGAAAGTGCTTTCAGAATTTGTGCCAGACAACAGTCACTATCATGTTCATGGATTATCTTTTTATTTCATTTCAATTCCAAGTGCTAAAGGTTATTTTGTGTCATGCTTTGTACCTTATTCATATATATTAGCATTTTAAAATATGATTTCAACCTGACCCCCTATTGTGAACTGTAGAACTTATAGAGTTCAAATATACTTGTGGCAATTCAAAACATTTCCGTTTTCTTTTCTTTTTTTTTTTGCGGTATGCGGGCCGCACAGGCTCAGCGGCCATGGCTCACGGGCCCAGCTGCTCCGCGGCACGTGGGATTCCCCCCAGACCGGGGCACGAACCCGTGTCCCCTGCATCGGCAGGCGGACTCTCAACCACTGCGCCACCAGGGAAGCCCCTCCATTTTCTTAATAACCACCATTGACCATATCGAAGGCAAAAAGCTTTTAGTTGGGGAAAAAAAAAGTGGTTTGGCTTTAACAATAGAAAACAGTTACCAGTGATTAAATTTGCTAATTGTGTTCTGCTGTACCATGGCCAAAGCTATAGTGTGTATAAGAGTTCATATAATTAGATAAATTGTCTTAAAGACAGCATCTTCTTTAGACAATGGTATGATTACCATCATCTTATAAACTGAGTTTTCTTTTTAAAAATATGCCTAGTATTTTAAAGACTTCTGGTTCATTTTGGAAGCTATACAGTGACCTATCCTCCCTCCATTGTTCTTCCTTTTTAACTCTTCTCTTCCCCTTAAAATGTTTTCCCCCCTTTTTCCCAAGATGATTAGAGAAAATTGGCAAACATACTGTATCTGAACTTTAGGAAGGTGTTTGACCTAAATCCAATAATATTCTTGTGTACAGATATAAATATGGTAAAATGATCAGGTGGACTCAGCTTGTTGAGTGAGAGAAGCCATGCATACCAAATGGATCCGTGTCTGTTTGGGTGCATGCTAGGGACATGCCATGGGGCACTTAGTGACCTCAATACTGGTCCTGTTCAACAATTTTAATGACCAATTTGGATGACTGTACTGAGAGGTATATTTATCAGATTTACAGACAGTAAAAAACAGAAGGAATAGGGTGTGCGTTCAGGTGGAGAAGAAATTTGCATTCCAGAAGTTCTTGACAGACTGAAGAAAAAAGCAGATTCTAAAAATATAATATTTAGCGATGATGACCGTAAAGAAATTTGGAAGTCTAATAACTCAGTTAGACTTCTAACAAGTCAAGTTAGACTTGAGCGCACAGTTTGAGCACTGTATATGAGGAAGAATTAGGGAATTTAAGTACAATAACAGTAGTACAGTATGGCTACTGGAAAGTCTAATGATAGCTTATGCTACATCATTAGATGTAATAATTCAGTATAAGTTCCACAAGGCAAGAGCATAGTTCACTGTCATATCCGCAGAGTCTGGAATGGTACTCGTGGTGGGTGCTCAGTAAATATTTGTCGAATGAATGAATACTCCAGAGGACGAGAGGTGCAAGTCTTGCTTTTTTTTTTCTAGTCCTTGAGAAAGGAGACTCTTGGTGGGGGTCTGGGTAACTATAGATAATGAGAGAACTTTCTGGTGGAAGAGGGATTGAACTTGTCCCATACAGTTAAGGACCAGGTAAGGTATAGGAATGAAGGCATATTTCTAATCAGTGTAAGGAAAGGATTCTTTCTTTTTTTTTAATCTTTTTGTTTTGAAACAATGAGAGACTGGTAAGAGGTTGCAAAAATAGTACAAAGAAGCTTTTTTTTTTTTTTTTTTTTTTTTTTGCGGTACGCGGGCCTCTCACTGTTGCGGCCTCTCCCATTGCGGAGCACAGGCTCCGGACGCCCAGGTTCAGCGGCCATGGCGCATGGGCCCAGCCGCTCCGCGGCATGTGGGATCTTCCCGGGCCGGGGTACGAACCCGTGTCCCCTGCATCGGCAGGCAGACTCTCAACCACTGTGCCACCAGTGAAGCCCCAAAGAAGCTTTTTAACAGGCAGAATTGCCCCAAAATAGGAGTAGGGCTGCTTTAGAAGATATGGGGGAGATCCCTACCACTTGATGTGTGCAAGCATCCAGTTAACTGTTGCCCTTTCTGGTCTGTTGATTTCTCTGGTACTTCTCTGCCGTTTTCCCTAGAGGCCATCGCTTAAACCTGAGGTTGCAAACTCACATACCCAGGATAGTTGGGTAACAGGTGAGCTGAGTGTTGAGAAGCCTCTGACCCTCGGTCTCTCTTTTCTTTTCCTACTTTTCATGTAGCCGCAGATGGAAGCAGTATTTTCATTTTCCTCTCAACTCTGTGATAAGAGCGGTGGACAGTTGATTACCAATGTTGTGTTAGTTCAGCTGTACTCCAATATAAAATAAAAACTTTAAAAAGTGGATAGCGCAAGCACAGTGTGAAGTGTCAGCTGAGACTTAGCCTCCAGCGTTACGGGAGTCACTTCAGCTCATTGTTACCTTGTAGGAATATGGTTCTAGTGTTGTTCCATCTTCCTTTAGATTTTAGTGAGATAACTAGAATCCTTAATTTTTTAAAAAAGCATATGCTCCTATTTTTAAAATATTGGCAATAACAAAAACAAAAAAATTAGCATTGTGTGAGGCCAGATAAAGTACCAGTTTTTGATCTGTCTTAAAATAAACCCATAGTGCAGCTCAAGGCAGAATGAAACCACCTCCATGTTAGCGTTTTACGAAATTCTTGATTACAGTTAACTGAGTGATTTCCTAAGCTGTCTTTTAAATCTTTCTCCTCTTATTTTGGTATTTGGGTGAGGTTGAGTTGAATTATTCCTACAAAGGGACAGTTTAAATATATTATTTGAAGTTTAAGTCAGGAAGTGACACACTTAAAGGATCAGGTAGTAAATATTTTAGGGTTTGGGCTTCATAGGTCTCTGCTACAACTCTTCAACCCTGCAGTGAAAGCAGCCAGTGGCCGTGTTCCAGGAAAACTCCATTTATAAAAGGGGCGAGTGGCCCGTGGGCCGTAGTTTGCTGACCCCTGGTAAATGTATAAACCCAAACCGTTTCTACGTTAAGATGTTTGCTGAGGAGGTAATAGTGAAAGTCATTTAATAGGGTAATTTTTCTTTTTCTTTTAATTTTTTTAACATCTTTATTGGAGTATAATTGCTTTACAATGGTGTATTAGTTTCTGCTTTATAACAAAGTGAATCAGTTATACATATGTCCCCATATCTCTTTCCTCTTGCGTCTCCCTCCCTCCCACCCTCTCTATCCCACCCCTCTAGGGGGGACACAAAGCACCAAGCTGATCTCCCTGTGCTATGCAGCTGCTTCCCACTAGCTATCTATTTTACATTTGGTAGTGTATATATGTCCATGACACTCTCTCACTTCTTCCCAGCTTACTCTTCCCCTCCCTGTGTCCTCAAGTCCATTCTCTACGTCTGTGTCTTTATTCCTGTCCTGCCCCTACATTCTTCAGAACCATTTTTTTTTTTTTTTTTTAGATTCCAAATATATGTGTTAGCATACGGTATTTATTTTTCTCTTTCTGACTTCACTCTGTATGACAGACTCTAGGTCCATCCACCTCACTACAAATAACTCAATTTCGTTTCTTTTTATGGCTGAATAATATTCCATTGTATATATGTGCCACATCTTCTTTATCCATTCATCTGTCGATGGACACTTAGGTTGTTTCCATGTCCTGGCTATTGTAAATAGAGCTGCAATGAACATTTTGGTACATGACTCTTTTTGAATTATGGTTTTCTCAGGGTATATGCCCAGTAGTGGGATAGCTGGGTCACTTGGTAGTTCTATTTTTAGTTTTTTAAGGAATCTCCATACTGTTCTCCATAGTGGCTGTATCAATTTACATTCCTACCAACAGTGCAAGAGGGTTCCCTTTTCTCCACACCCTCTCCAGCATTTATTGTTTGTAGATTTTTTGATGATGGCCATTCTGACCGGTGTGAGGTGATATCTCATTGTAGTTTTGATTTGCATTTCTCTAATGATTAGTGATGTTTAGCATCCTTTCATGTGTTCGTTGGCAATCTGTGTATCTTCTTTGGAGAAATGTCTGTTTAGGTCTTCTGCCCATTTTTGGATTGAGTTGTTTGCTTTTTTGATATTGAGCTGCATGAACTGCGTGTATATTTTGGAGATTAATCCTTTGTCAGTTGCTTCGTTTGCAAATATTTTCTCCCATCCTGAGGGTTGTCTTTTGGTCTTGTTTATAGTTTCCTTTGCTGTGCAAAAGCTTTTAAGTTTCATTAGGTCTCATTTGTTTACTTTTGTTTTTATTTCCATTACTCTAGGAGGTGGGTCAAAAAGGATCTTGCTGTGGTTTATGTCACAGAG